AAGATTGCACAACTCTTCTTGATGTGGTTGAACTGCTGAATTGAGTGATATGTGGATGAAGTCCCAAAAAACTGTTTATACATTGTGTGTGTGTGTGTGTGTCTTTGGGGTGGATGTGATTTCAAAGGTCATCTCGGTTTAGAAATGTGCATTCAGTTACTTACTGAACAGGCATTCATTGAGCACAGTGACACTCCTTATTTCATTGATAGTATCATTGCTTCAAATGTTTCTACAGTATCTTTGAAATTATCTTTAGAATTTCTGTCAAATTCTTTAGAAACTATGTCACTCTCCCCCCTTCCCTGTTCTTAAAGCTTGAAGGTAGATTTGCTTTGGGAACTAAATAATGATTGTTTAGCACCAAGTCATGAAGGATGTGGGTCAGAAGTTATAGCCTGGCAGTTCATGAATTTTTTTGGTTATTCTTACATTATTTTTCGTTAAAAAAAAATTGGACCCAAAATTCTGACATTAAAAATATCTTAACTTTTGCTTCTTTTTAAGATTCTCCTATTAGCCTGGATCAACATTCTTGAGGGACTGTTTTCAGTTGGAGCTCAGTAGTGCCCACCCTTTTAGATGTGACATTCACTCTCCAGTTTGGGTCATTCCCTTCCCTTTCCTTTTACTCAGTAAGCAGTAAGGCTGAGAGGCTGGGTTTGATTTATGTATCTGCTGAGCATTGGGGATATGGAGATCAATAAGACAAGCACTGCCTACAAGAAGGCTTTCTCTAGGGCTAGAGACATCTTAAGATATAATTGTGTGGTAAGTGTTTTAGTAAGTGCATATTTAGATATTAAGTGAGTACCTACCATATGGCCAGTATTATCTCAAATACTTCCACTTGTCTTATTTAAACTTTAATATTCTTATGAGTTGGTATTAGCTTTTTTCTATTTTATACTGGAAGCAATAAGCTCAAATGGTAAGTAGCTTGACCCAGGTAATACAGCTAGTAAATAGGTGGTTACAGACTCAAGGTTGGTCTTTTGACTAAGAGCATTGAAGCTTAAATCACATAACCAGAGTCATGGGTTTTGTTTGTGATCTGGATGCTATTTAGGGAGACAGTGCATTTGTTTGCTGTAGAGGGCTGATGGGATCTAGGATCAGTAAGATTGTTAAGCGGAATCCCAAAAGGGTCTTAAGGCACACTAATGACAGGCCAGAGAAGAGGAAGCTATAGTGAGGGAATAAATCAGGAATAAATAAGGGAGATTCAAGGGTTAATTTGAGTTTTCTTCCCACTCCTGGTTTGAGTTCTAAGGTGACTGTTGATAAGAAGTCGGAGTTAAAGTGTTTTTCTTACAAGGTGCTAAGAACTAATAAAAACTGCTGAAGTCCTCCACAAAGTACCAAGGGACATGATTGGTTTAATCTAGTACAGCAAAAGTCAAAGGGCAGACTTTGGGAACAGTAACCAGATCTTGGTTGGGGTTGGTGGTGAAAAGCATAGGTTTCCAGCATAAAAGCTGGGAAAGATTTTGAGTAGCAGCTTCTAGGTAGTCCTGCACTGCTTTCTAGAGCTATGGCCTTGTGCTGTCAGGGCTGCAGGGTATACTGGGGAAGGGGAGAGATTTTTCCTTCAAATAGCTTCCGTATATGTTAGCTTATTTAATCCTTACAGTAACTAATGGTATATGAGGGGCCTTCAAAAAGTTCATGGAAAAATTACATTATCTTTTAATTCATTTTTCTTAAGAATGTTTTGAAGACCCCCCCCCATATGATATTCATATTTTATAGATGAGAAAACTGAAGTTTAAGATTAGTCCAGTGACTTGCATTTAATAAACAGTGACGGGCCAGAGTTTGACGCTAACTCAGCCTGACCACTAAAGCTTAGTTGCTTTTCTATAGTGTCATTAATAATAGTTAATGATACTCTGAACATATTCTGATATTCTGCCTATTATTTGAGGCCCTATGGACACCCCCCCCCCCCCCAGCTTGCTACTGAGTTGAGAATGTTTTGGGAATAAGAAATTTATAAGCCTTCTTGGTTTCATTTTCTAGACTAATAGCTTTTAGAATTAGTGATGTAAACTTTTAAGAAAAACCATAATACCTTAACTATGTAACTGCAGCACCCCCTTTCCCCCCAGCTGTTAGCATTAAAAAAATAAAAAGTGGCTGGTGAATCACTTCTGCCTCATGGTGACTGTGTGAGAGCAGAACTGCACTCCATCAGGTTTGGCTGATTTTTTCAGAAGTAGATCTCCAGGCCTCTCTTTCTAAGTGCCTCTGGTGTTAACCTTCAGAGTATGTCACTGTACCACCAGGGACTCCCTGTCAGCATAGCCAAACTTTTTTCCCCCAGACTCTTATTTGACAGTTAATCTCTTAATATTTCATTGAGTACTGTTAGTAATTTAGTTAGCTGTTCAAATCCTTATAAATTATAAATGTGATATTACTGGTTGACTATTCTTAATACTTTAGTAATAAAGTTTGTATCAATATATAGGGTTCTATTTTGATTAGGTATTTAGCTAGGTCTCCATTCAAACAGGTCGAATTCAACATGAGTCAGATTTCCATTGCCTAAATCAGTGAAATTGTTTAATGGTTTATGTTATCTCTACATATATGATTCCTAAGAAATTCCTTAGAGGTATCTCATGTCTCAGTAAGCATTGTGGTGCAGTTCAAAGAATACCCTTTGTGGGACCTGAGTTTGCATCTTAGTTTATGACTAGGGCTACTTGCTTACCTTCTCCGAACCTCACTTTCTCACATGTAAATAATGGGGATATAGTGTGGGTTAGAGGAATAGTATCTATAATGTGCCTCACACAGGATCTAACACTGACTTTCTGTGTATTTGCATTATGATGAATCAGACTTAACATCATCCTTTAAAAAAATAAATATCCTTAGTAATATATACCAATATAGTATTGTAGCACATAATTTACTAATATTGTTCTTATGACAACCCCAAAAGAGAAATAAAGACTGGATTTATAAACATATTAAAAGTCAAAGGCAATAGGAAATGAGTTAATCAACCTACAGTAGAACTGACTTACAACGGAGTTGTCAGAATGGATGCTGGGACCATCTGCACTACATTTCTTCATTTCAGTGTGGGAAATAGAGTATGCTTACCAAACCAGCCCCCTTGCTATCAAGTTTTTCCAACTCATACCCCCCCACCCCCCAAAGGACAAAGTAGAACTGTTACAGAGTTTCCAAGGCTTTAAATCTTTTAGGAAGCAGACTGCCACCTCTATCCCATAGAAAGTCTGGTGGGTTCAAACTGCCGACCTTTTTGGTTTGCAGTGTCACCAGAGCTCCTTAGGATTATGCATAGAGAAGTTAATACAGCAAAGTGATTAGAAAACCACCTTGTTTCTATTTCAAGATCCTGCCAAATTTCTGCAGATGTTCAGGTTGACCTCTCCTGTAAGGTCAATCAAGGAATTTCTAAAAAAACCTGCTGATGTAGTAGTTAAGTTTTCAGCTGTGATCCGCAGGGTTAGTGGTTCTATATCACCAGCTGCTTTGTGGGAGAAAGGGGCTTTCTACTCCTATCAACAGTATAGTCTCAGAAACTCACAGGGGGCAGTTCTACTTTATAGGGTCACTTTGAGTTGGCAGTGGAAAAACACCCCCAAACTAGCAAATTGGTTACCTTGCTTAGACTTAGGATATTTAGTTTTGAAAAGATGAAGCAGATCTAAGGTGGTTATTAAAGGCCTCAGGAATTGGTGAGGTTTCCATCTGAATGTTTTATATATAAAAAGAAAAACATTTATTGATTTTTTTTCATACCACATTAGAACCTACCGTTTAAAACCTAAGCAGTTAGGTCCCCAAACCCTAAGTAAATATTTGACCACTATTTGTACTTGAGCACTTTATGCTTTCAGTAACTACAGTGAATCAAGTAAGAATACTTAGATCAGCCCTGCTATACATTCTTCAAAATGGGGGAGTGAAAATTACTCTTATGAAGTCTGTGACACCAAAATGCCGTGACAGCTAACATTTTGTGACTGTCTCGAATGAATGAATGAATTTGTCAAACTATAATGTGCTTTAACTAATTTATTGGCTGACATTCTAGCATCTTTGCCATCATTGCCGTTCCCCACCGCCACCCCCGACGTGCCCCCCCCCAAGTATATTTCATAGGGTTCCTGGTAGACTTTTTTTGGAAAGGCTTCTGTTCCACTGACTTCATATATTAGTTCATAGCTTTATACAGAGTTTTCCGATTTACTTTACGTTACAAAATAAAGTGCTTTGCCCTCTGTGCTTTGAAAACAACCTCATATTTAATGACAGCTGCCTTTTGGGAAGTCCTGCAAACAGTTGTCTGACCATTGGCTTGTTAAAAGAAGTTGCATTTTCTTGGAAGCCATTGGATTAACTCTGTTAATTCGCAACAGAAAATCAAAGATAGTTAAGTCACAACTTCCGACCTTGTGTATCTTGTTTCTCTAGTTCCGTGCCTTAGGATTCTGTAGCTATAGCTCACAGACATCTTTGATGGCCAATCAGAAGCAAATCAATTACCTTACATTTTAAAAAATGAACTCTGACAGCCAATAAGAAATCCCTTGGGTGGGAGCTGTAATGTGTCTTTCGTGTGATTTTAAGAACATTGCTAAATTTGCAGTATCTTCTATTTGGGAAGCACGTGAGGCCCTAGCACATCTGCTGTTTGCATTTTCCAGACATTTCCAAGCTTTAAGTTCCTGTAGTTTTGAAGTGCGGATCTGACCCCTGCTCTGCTTCTCAAGGTAACTTTAAAACAGGAAGTGTACAAAGGAGGTAACTGATGACGTGAACAGCCAATCGTGGTTTTGTGTTCTTAGTCGATTAAGCAGCTCAGCCAATGGGGCCACTCTGGAGGCAAGGTTTGGTGTCAAATAGCATGCTAGATTGAATGCCTTTGACTGTTAAAGTGGAAGGAGGCTGCAGGGCTTCATTGGAGCCTCGGAGTTTTTCACTGAGGCAGGGGTCAGCTGAAAGACAAAGAAAAATGGCGAATAGTTTGTTGGGGGGTGGAGGGACAGCTGTTCGGGTTTTCACTGGAGTGGACATACCAGACTCAGGTTTCTTCATCTCCTGCTGCCTTTTGTTTCCGCCGTCCTTTTGGGGGGAGGGATAGGAGTGACTTAAATTCTCCCTGTCCGAGGAGATATAAATAACTACATGTAAAATTAATGCAGTTCCCGGTAAGTTTAATTCTTTGTTTTGTGTTGCAATGATAGAAACTGTTTAGCGTCAGAGAGTGTAGACAAGTTGCACTGTTACAGAAAATGGCCACTTTACATTCCATGCATACCTTTTGATGCACCTAGAATACCTTGCTCTGTAGATTTTGCATGCCCTTCAACTAGAATTTCTGTTGCTAGCTGAGTATTGACAATGTCAGGTACATGAAGAAATCTTCATCATTTCTCAGGGCCACACAGAAGCAAAGCACTTTCTCTTTTCATTGGGTAAACTTAACTGTTTTCCAGATAATTTTCCTTTGTTCAAGTGCACTGAAGCTTTCCTACAGAATAAGCTGAGATCTAGCCAGAGTTTTTCTATTTCCATGCACTTTGTTGACATCTATTTTCAGAGGTGGAAGCAACACCATTACTGTTCTGAATTTGTATAAAAATATGATTTGCATGATGCAGGGTTGAATTGTGAGGGCCCATATGCCAATGTGAAATTCTTCCATAACTTTCTTGATTTATCTGACTGTGTATAGTTTCTAATAAGTACTAATTAATTTAGTGACAACCTTTCAGGTTTAAAATGTTCACGTAAGCTCAGAATAGTGGTCAGAAACACGCTACACTATATTAGCAGTGAACAGAGCAAATCTTTCTCTACCAGTTTGTACACATTTTGTCATGCATTGATTTGGTTCTTTTCAAGTGTTGTGGGCAAATGCATTACCTTTTCTGTGTGTCATGTTTAAAATCTGAATTTACCTGCAGCTTATGAATAGGAGAGGTCTAGTAGAGGCACCCTGTCTTTTGCCCTTGATAAATTACCCTACCCCCCACCCCCCTCCACCTTTTCGGGAAGCTAATGTAGGTTGCTAATCGCTAGTCAGTGAGTTCTTTTGAACAGAGAAGTCTTCCATCCCTTGTACTAAGCTCTAAAGTACACTTGGTAAATAAAAGCAATCCCGTGTTTTCTTTTTATTTGCAAATACAGAATGAAGGTCATTGGAACATTTCTGCAGCAGACTGGAGCAGTGAGCCAGCAGCACTCTGTCTCTGGGTAGGGAATAGGCGCAGGCCCTATTAGAGGAGAAGTTTGGAGGATGTTGATTTGCCTTGCTCTCTCTTCCCCATACAGAACTTACCCGAGAGGATCGATAAGGGTTTAGATTTTGAGCTCTTGGAGTTGGAGTAGTGTAGGAGTCAAAGTTGCAGGCCTCTGTCGTTGCTTGCAAAAGTGACCTTGAAAAACTGCCGAGGAGCTGAAAGATGGAAGAGTAAAGTTTGTTTATGCACATTTGGATAGAAAAGCGCTAAGATGAGGGAGACTACTGATGTACAGGTCGAGTGGTTGGTAGGAGTATGTTACAGATTCAAATCAGGGTTTCGGACAGTAGGCGCCTTCTACTCTTCTCTGCTCCCTCCTCCCCGTGAAGATATGCTCAATCCTTCCCGTATGATAGCTGGGTAAGCTGCTTAACAGACTCAAATTCCTTCTATGATATCTTGTCTTATCTTGTTTTCTTGGTAATCTAGAAGGTTCTTGATGAAGAGTGGTATTTCAGAAGTTCTAAGTAGTTAAGTGTGTGAAATTTCTTTGGGGGGGATTGGAATGTTTATGGTAAGAAAATAGTCATTCGGGGAAGTAAAATCACAAGAAAAAGTATGTGTTAAAGATTACATTTTAACAGAAGTAATTCTTTTCATTTCAGTTTAATTTTTCAACTCATTGATTTAATATGTTACCATTTGCTTCAGACTTTGGGTATGGTTTTAAAAAATGGTGATAGCTACAGCATGATTACATGGGCAGTGTGGGAAAAACCCTGGATTAGGGAGGGCAAAAGTGTGAAGGTAGGGCACAGTATGAGGCCTAGATAAGGCTCTTTGTAAATTTAGGAAATGGAGGATTTAATTTATTGATGAGGCAACACTAGCTTGGACCTTTTTAGGGTCATGGACTTTTGGAATCTGACCCACTACCTAGAAAAATGCATATAGGCACGCATGCCTGTGCAAAACCTCTAGTGGCTAAAATATTTCCCAGTATATGTTGAATGGCCAAAGAAATGGTTCTTATATAAATTAAGAAAACTTTCCTTTTTCCCTAGAAAGAATAAACACCCAGAGTTACAGGTTTAGATTGGGGTGGAGGTAGGAGTGGGGAGGCATAGATAGATGGGTGTTTGAGATTTTGGCATTTATTTACTCCGATTATAATATTTGAAACAGAATAAATGATGCCATGGTAAAAGTAGAGAATTTAAAGTCAGGAGGCCTGTGTTAGAGACCCAGCCAGCTACTAGTAGCTCTGTGAGCTTGGGCAAGTCAGCCATTTAGTGTCAGCTTCCTCACGTGTAAAAATGGGACCTAAAAATAGCGCCTTCCTATTTCCTGGTGAGTTTCAAATGAGATCATGTCCGTCAAAGTGCTTTGCAAATTGTGAAATGCTACATAAGTATTAGCTGTTACTGATCCAAACGATTTTGGGGTTAGATTCCTGTGAATATGTGGCATCAAAGGAAACATATTTTACTATATAAAGGAGTTTGTTTAAACCTGAGACTGGTTCTGCATGCCTTTACCTGTATATTTCTGTTTATGCTGATGTAACCTTACCTATTTAATAAATACAGTGAGATGATTTAACTCTTTTGAAGGGATTTTAGCTTCTCTGTCAAAAACTAAAAGCTTTTCAGAATAAGATGAAACGGTAATGCTAATTTTATAAAATCCTTATTAGATTTAAGAATCTTAAGAACTAGTAACTTGTTCTGATTGGATACTTGTATTTGCACCATAATGCAGGTAAGTTGTAATGGTTGCAAAGATTTACCATGCAAAGGTTACCTTTGTAGTTTGTGAATTGAATATTTATAAGTGTAAACTGAAGCTGTTAAAACATTTTTTTGCTTGCTTTTTATTTGTTTTCTTATGCAATCTCTGTACAGCCAGTTTTCAAGCTTGGGAGGTAGTCATAGCTTCAAAGTAGTATCAAGCAAGTATGCCTTTTCTTTCTAAAATAACTGGTTTCTTGTCAGAATCTAAACATTAGCATAAAATCCTATCAATCAATACCTGCTGTGAGATACCTTTTCCAAGATAAAGGGTGGACCCTCATGGGAATTTCTTTCTTACCCATCGTATGCGCCCCAATGTAATTTATTTTTAGGACTTCATTTGCTTCTTTGAGAGTAGGGTGGATCTTTTGTGATCTGTTGGATTTCCTGTCATCTTAAGTCACTTCCTCTCAGGTATGGTCAGTCAGTATTGATGCTTGTCTTCTTTTTGTGCACTGAGAGGATAAATTCAGACAGAATGAGGTTTGGCACAATTGGCTTTGACCTCTTCAAATAAAATTCCTGTTCCAAAATGTATATATTTGAACCCAGCAGTCATCATCACTATGGTCTTTTTGTCCTAAAACGAGATGAGATCTTTTTTAAAAAGACACCATATGAGAGGGTACCCCCCCAAGAAAAACGAAAACCAGAAAAAGCTCTGCGTGGAGGGAGCTTTCATTGTACGCATTTCCCCCCCACTAGCTGAGCATTGAGAAGCTCACTCTGAATTAGTGCACCCAGTGGTGTCTCTTGGGAAGGTTCTCGCTAGTCACAGTGAATTTTTTTTGATAAAGCAGTTTCACTTGAACTTCGTTTTTATGTGATTTCTGATTTAAGAGAACAGTGTGCGGCTGTAAAATTTTGTTTCCTGCTCAGGTAAAATGCCTCAGAAACTCTTGTGATGTTGAACACAGCTTACAAGGACAGCCCTATGGGCAAAACTCAAGTGTACCAGTGGTTTTCTAGTTTCAGAAAAGGTGAAATGTAGATTGATGACAAACCTTATTCTGGATGTCCATCAGCTTCCCAAAATGACGAAAATGTCAACCATGTAGTGCATTTGGAGTTCATTCCACCAGGTCAGACTATTAATCAAGCTTTCTGTTGAGAGGTTCTGAAAAGATAGCATAACAGTGTGCTACAAAAAAGGCCTGATTTGTGGTAGATGGGGGACTGGTTTTGCCACCACGACAGTGGATCTGCTCCCACAGCCATCTCAAAACAGCATGCCTCTCTTGTTCCACATACCTTACTCACCTGACCACTCCATGGGACTTCCTTTCTTCAAGTGAAGAGGGACATGAAGTAAAGTGATTCGATGACTTACAAGAGGGAGGTGCTGTAGGCCATCCAAATAGATGAGTTTGGAAAATGTTTCCAAACCTATACATATATGCACGTAAATCTGTTTGCCCACATTCTTATATAAATATATTTACATATGTACATTCCAGTCTTAAAACCTCTATACACACCCTTTGTCCCCTAGTTCTTTCCTCTGTTTCCCTTTACTTTCCTCGTGTCCCACTGTCATGCGCAGCTTTCCTTTGGGTTTCAGTGATTTCTCTCGGTTACAATGCCCTTGTTGAATCCCTACCAGGCCTCTCGCATCCTCCTTGCCACTGTTTTTGGATCACTTGTTGCTCCCCTGTCCCTGGGCTGGTAGCACCACCTCCTTACCCCCGCCTCCCCCTCTCCCGTGTCCCTCCTGAACCGTTGGTCCCGTTGTTTTCTCCTCCAAACTATTCGTCCAGTCTACCTTATCAAGATAGATCTATAGAGATACTAATATGCATAAAAAACCAAGCCATAGCAAGATAGGCAATCAGTGAGAGCACAGCGATGGCATCAAAAAAGGAAACCTATTACCTAGAAGAATAAGTTAATTAAACAAACAAAACAAAACAAAAATTTAAGCAGAAAGAAAAACCTGTAAATAGGTCAAGGTCTGATTTTTGATCTCTAGGCGACACGTGTCCTCCAGTCAAGACCGATGGGGTACCATGCTCTGGCCCCCAAGTCTGTCCTTAGTACTCCCTCGGGGGCTCTGCTCTGCTCCCACGGTTGCTCTGCCGCACGCTTTTTGTGGTTTGCCTTGGTGTCTCAGGGTCAGTCTGGGCCAGTCCCAACACTGAGTCCCCAGCGTTGTCCCCCTTAGAGCCCGGGGCC